CCTGTTCCTGAAACCCTGTTTCCGTGCCTGAGTCTTAGGGGCGGTTGAAACAATGAGGGCCTGAGAATGGCCCTCCGTTTCAGGCTGGAAAAACTGGGTCTGAAAGACCCAGAAATAGGCTGAAACGGAGTAGGGCCTGCAGGCCCTCGTTTTTCAGCTTTCAGGCTGAAACGACCGGGGCCTGTACGCCCTAAGTTTTAGGCTTTTAGGCTGAATGTCCGGGACGGGCCCTGCAGGGCCCGTGCGGCTACGCAGTATGCCACAACCACCCTCCCTCATTTACCTCCCCCTCATCTTTCACCCTCTCGTTCATGCCCTTCAGCCATCTTTCTCGCTCATGAGACTTCCATATCCTCAGCCCTGCTCCACCACTTTCAACCCACCCTCTCACATACCAGCATAGCATTCAAAAGCGTGGAAATTTCAAAATTCCGTTTAATAACTTTAATAATAGTTTAATTCACATTATTAACTATTAAATTAATAATCCACTCACCTGAACAGCTGGAAATTAATTGCCAATTCCGCTTTTGTAGCATCGGCCGCGCTTCCCCCCGCTGCACCCACGACCAAACCGGGGCCGCCCGTTGGAACAGTTGCAGGCATTGAAACAGAAGTTTTCGTCTTGCCCATCCGGTATGCCACTCCTAGCATTGCTCCTCCTTGCAGATCTATCACCTGCATCAGGCCTGGGCCTGCCCATGATCAGTACCTTTTTGTTATCGTAACATAATAATAAATATATTAATATAAAAATGTATAGAACTAATAATCATTGAACTTCACCTCCTTTTTGGTTACAATAGAGAATTTCATAAACACAACTTTTGACAGGTGCCACTGGGATCAAGCTGAAAATGCAGAGGGCTCTCAGCAACAACGACAGCAACAACACCTTCGTAGTTGTGGCTTAAGAAGAAGTTGGTTGCACCAATGCCTTTTCCACGTGTTCCTTCATTACCTGAATGTATCCGCCTCCATATCCATTCACTTTGATCATTTCATAGCCACAACAAGAACACTACACTTGGTATGGATATGAAAGTTGCTGGTACTATGAATGTGTTGCATTGAAACCCAAACAGTAATAGAAAAGTTCAAAGAGCAATGGAACTTCAATGAAACAGAAGTTTTCGTCCTGGATATCTCACAGTGCAAGGAAAATGAGGAATAGCGAGATGACAATATCCAGAATGCACAATCACATTGAAAGCCAGAAAGTAGCACAGTGTCCAGAAAGCAGCATTGCACCAACATGACACCAATGGAGAATCGTAACACTGAAACCAATGTCCATGAGAGCTTGCTCTCGCCACCACCAACACAAGAGTCCAGGACCTTCTCCCTACTTGGCGCTCGACGCCCAGCCTACTTCCTACACAGCTACTATCTG